TCGTTGATGAATATATTGAATAGTATCAGATACTTTACCTTAGAGGCGTGCTTTAACCAGGCGTAATAGCTTTCTCCCTCTCTCACATACATAGAGAGTAGATATTTTATCCTGGATTTTTCTGCCTAGAAATATTTTGTCAAACATATTAGTGCTAAGAAAATAAAAACCCTAATTAGGAAAATGATACCTTAAACATTGCACTCAGCTTTAACATGCAAGAAACCACATACAATGAAACATACAATGAAAAGGGGAGGGAAAGACAGCTGTGACCCCTTTTTAGTAATGTACATCTACCTACAGTAGATGTCAATAGCTCAAGAGAATTTTGACTGATGAGCTTCAATCTCACTTTTACATAACAATAAAAGGTTTTTTAAGAAGAGTTAGCCCATCAGCCAAGTCTTAACTGGCAAGATGCTTCTGGTTTGCACTGCTAAAATCTGACAGAGACAAGTCAATTGTTGAATTTCTTCCTGTCTTAGAGAATATCCAAAGTTAGTATATTTGGTATTCATAAGAGGTAGGCTTGTAGGCTTTGTAAAACAAAGCTCTCACTGAGTGGACCTCAGTACAGTCAAGGCTTGTCCTCTAACAAAGAGACCCTTAGCAATTGCTTCTTGGTGTTGGAAATCTCACCTAATTACAATCCTAGAAAGTGATTGCTATTAGCACCTGATGAACTAGTTCAGCACCCTGGGTGTTTGTAAATTCTTAATTCTCAATCCCAGGCAGACCAGAAAACAACAAACCTTCAGACTTTAGTATCTTGAGCATCCTCCTACTATGAAGGTTGCTTAGTTTTCAAAATCCACACAATTATGAAGTTATCACTTCATGAAAGTAGGCTGCAAAGCGCATCACCATTATGATTTCTAGCTGTGCTAATTTTCATATTAGAAAATTAGTTAAAAGACGTTTTATCTACAGAAAGTACTTGCAAATGCCCTTACTATTGTTTCAAAAAAAAGTGATACCTCTTCTACCCCTCAGAAATACGCATATAACGTGATGTCCATCGATAGAGGCCATTCTTCTGGAATCATAGCTTCTAGTTATAGATTTACTGGAGCTTTCCTCCACAGGAGATCCTCATGAACACAGTTTGGCTACATATATTAAAATACAGGGTATGAGGTGATGTACTCTAGCCCTTTAAGTACTACCAGGTACAAAAACATTCGTCTTTCTCACAACAAAAAAAAATTTCTTTTTTTCATGATGTGTACAAGTACGCATCCAAAATTAAGAGAAAAATGAAGTCATAACCCTGGTGTCTGATTCCTAGGTTCCTACATCTCAATTACAATAGAGTAATCACATTTCTTGAGACAAAATAGGAGAGAAAATTTTCTCAGAGGAAATGCTGTGGAGGCCTATATTCCTTATCTATTCCCTCCTGAATAATGAATTAATTTCAGCCACTGTTTCCAAAGTAGGCTCTGAAGGAATCTGGCAGGTACGTATTTTTTTTTTAAAATAAGAACACTATTTCAGTTTTTCCTGATGCATTGAAATTATAAACTAATCTCAGAGCAAAATTTGTCAGGGTAAGTAGAACCAGCTCCACTAATGTCCATATTCACAATATATTGAATCTGCAATATTGTTCTCTGACTGCTATTAAATTGAAGGGAATTGTGATTACAGACTGGAAAAGGAAATTGAGGCTCTGGAAAGAGAGGAAATGGAAGTCTCAGCTAAGGAAGAAGCAATTTTAAAGAAACTTAAGTCTGTTGAGAAAACAACAGAAGATATAATAAAGGTTAGTGCCAAATTACTCTAGAAGTAGAATTCATACTCATTCATCATAATAACCAGGGAGAGGGGAACTAGCTGGATCCTGTGAGTGCTCATGAGCTTTTGTCTAAAGTGACTGTTGTTCAAATGCAAGGGGGGGTCAAGTTGTTATACTGTTCAAGCATCCAAGTGTCTCCATTTGCTTGTTTATGGGGGGTGGGGAAGCAATTCCTATCATTACTCATTTATAGCACGTCTCAAAAAAAAAAAAAAAAAATAGTACGGCCACTGACACCAACCAGGAACTTTGCATCTCAGCCAGAGACAGACACAACAGGGACAGAGGCTGATGTACCCGTAGTCCTTCAGGTGATGCGCCCAGCTAAACCGCATCACGCTTTCCCCCAAGTCCCTGAGAGAGGTTTTAGTGAAACACAACAATATTATCAGTCATTGGTCTTTGTCAAAAGGTCATTTTGATATTTCAAAATCGTCTTAAAATCTCAAAAATATAGTGATGAAACTAAACTTCAGTTCTCCAGTTGTTCTTAAACACTCACACTCTCTCTTTCTAGTGATGTGCAGGGAGATAAGTACAACTGGAAAGCCAAAGTAGACAACCAGCCTGGGCCACAGTGTGAGGCTGTGTCACTGATTAATGCTCTGTAATGTCCTGTCCTTCCCTGTGTGACTTGGAACCAAATTGGGAGAAAAAACCAGAAAAATTTCACTTTCTCCCTTGCTGTGCTGCAACTGAGCAGGTTCCAGTTTTAAGCCCCTTCTCCGTATGAAGCCATGCACACAGAAAGTTAAAACTGTCAGGTAAAGCAGAGCACTGTCTAATTAACATCTTAAAACTGACTAATCACACTTATTGTTAATGGTTCTCTTTCCTAGTCTGTGAAGACTGAAAAAGCAGGATTTGAAAAAGGTATGTTTAGACAAAAAAAATATTGTAAAAAAGATTCTTGTAGAAGTCAGTGAAAACATACTAAATGCTTTGTGGATCTTTATTCAGAGGCAGCAGACTACATATACACCAGCATACCTGACCTTCCCAAGTCTTTCAGGCCTTCTGCACTGAAAAGTTCAGCACATGCTCCCACCGACGAGGAAAAGAGGAAAGGTACTGCTTATTAGTAACTCCAAAGGGTGTCAATATGTCCAAAGACTTCCTATATATTGAATCTAATACACTTTAAGGGAAGGATAAACATACAGATATGGGACAGTGTTGTCCTCACTTAAGCTATGTCATGTTACCAGTGAGGGCATCAAAAAGGTGGGACATGGGTGCAAGGTATGTGCCATTGAGAATAAGCATCAAGTGTTTTTTCAACATTGACACTTCTTTCCAGTACTTTGTTCCTCTACCTGGCATAACTTTAAGTGGTTCCTCCCTTCATATCACACATTTCACATTTTCTATCTGCACTTACACCTATGGGCAGCCGGCAGGTGTCTGGTTATCTCCCAACTGCTACAAAGCTTCCAAACCCTTCTGAGTGCCCAAGACTTTAGTTTTGTAGCATGTTCAGCTCTTTCAACTGCTACTAACCAGCACGACACCAGGGCCGAGGTTAAGTCTGGCTTTCTCAGTAAATCACGTGATGAAAACTGGTCCCTCAACACCTTATTTTTCCTCACAGAATTAGATCCAAATGAAACTATTTTTTTCCACTTCATGTTTTGACAGGATGGAAGGGGGCATTCTAAATGAGAATCTAATATACTGGTTATATATGTGGTAATTTCACGTACTTGATAATTCATTCTAACAGTCATTCTCCATCACTGCTGGAACTCTTCTATAGTATTGCTTGCAACTGCTGCTTTATCAGTTTAAGCACTTGTTTCTTTCAACAGCATTGTTTGCCATGGAAATTAAAGTTGAAAAAGACATGAAGACGGGAGAAAACACAGTGTTATCAACAATACCTCTTCCTTCAAAGGAGTTTAAAGAGACAGGAATTAAAGTCTATGACGATGGCAGGAAGTCAGTCTATGCAGTGTCCTCAAATGGCAGCACAACACAAAATGGGATGGATGAACTTGCTCCTGTTGAGGTGGAGGATCTGCTACGGCAGGCCACTGAAAAAAATTCCCAATCTCCCACAGAGTATCATGAGCCTGTGTTTGCAAACAAGTTTTGCAGGCCAGTTACTCCTCAGAAAGACAAAATAGTCCCTGGACCAAAACTGGAAGACACTCACAGAAGAGAAATGAATGGATTTGCCAATCATCGCACAGAATTCTCCTCTAAAAGAGAGCCCTTTATGCAGCAACATAAAGAGAATGGGGTTGATCTTCCAAAGGTAATACAGCCAACATCTCCCTCTCCAGTTCTTTCCTGTTCAGAGAAGCAAGTGCACACTAATCCTGAGAAGAGGATGATACATAATGAAGAAAGAAAAGCTGCACATGAGGAATTAAAACCTTACCAGAATACAAGAGAAAGACATAATGAGACAAGGTTTTCAAGTCCCTGCCGTCTTAATGAAACACCTCCAACACCTCAAGATGAGGAAGATGTTCAGTACAGCATTGTCCAAGCTGTACCATGTTACGTGGATGATTCTGAACCAGTAACAATGATTTTCATGGGTTATCAGCGCATTGATGATGACGATGCAGAAGCAGACCAAAAGTTGTCACGATATGACGGGGTTATCCGTGCAGAATTAGTTATCATTGATGATGATGATGATGATGACAGCAAATCTGAGAAACCAGCATATCATCCCGTAGGTCACTATAGTCAGGTTTATCAGCCACCGAGCAGGAAAACCACAGAAGCCCTACAGACAAACCCTGTGAGCAGTTTGGGCATGAGCCTGAACAAGGTACCCCACAAAAATTCCATCTCCCTACGAGAACAAGAGGAACGCTTAAGCTCACCAACACACCACGATCATCTTCACGGCCAGGTATCTGGAGACGGCACTGAAGATCCCTCACTAACAGGTAACAGAAAAGGAAAACCCTGTCACTGCTGTTCGCTCATGTAGTAAATTGATACTGCTCTTACCTGCTAGTAACTGTTTCACTTCACTGTTTGTATTGTTTCATGGACTTGTATGCAATTACTAATAATTTACTTGCTCTTCTTTGTTAACAAATGCCAATCTGCATTTTGGTACTGTTGAATTATTTCATGTTTAGCAATGCGCTAGTTACCATATCAAAATTTGGAAAATAAACTATCTCAGAAGAGACATTTCTGTAACCTTCAAAGATTAAAAGTTCTCTTTCAAGTGATAATTAAATTTCCATTAATGCAACCTCAATTAGCCGAATTGGTTTTCATTTCCACCAGGTAACTAACAGCATTGCTTCTTAACACTGTCTCCTCACTGGAATGTTTTTGTGCCTGTCTGTGTTCTAACTACTTCCTAGACAATCTCAATTGCTCCTTAAATCAGAAAGACTGTTTAATAACCAGCTTTACTTTGCATTTTTCTGGAATCAGCATTGCCAGCCTTGCCTTGACAGTATTTATGCAAGTTTTAACATTTTTTGTTAACCCAAGTTAGATATTTTTATAGACTCTGAATACAACGAAGCAGTTTTCATCTCTATATGTGCTTAGTCCATACAGTCCATAGTGTTATTTTTTAGCACTTTTTGTATTCTATTAATACTTAAGGTGTCTATTTCTTTACTACGAAGTTTTATACTAAAAGGTTGAAAAAACAATAGCAAGGACTTCCAGAAACACCGCAAGCTCTTCTTTATGATTATGTTGCACTTTAACGCATACAATTAAACTGCATCTAGGTATATTTACAGAACAGATTTCAGACAGCAGTCACATTCCACTTCAAGGAAAGAACACTGTGCTTGAATTATAGGAATATTGGGGTCCTGATCCCACACTCCCTCTCTGCTCCTCTTCCAGACTATATTCTGAATAATTTTGCAATTCGGCAGCAACAGTGTAAGTTTGGGCCCTGCCTAAAGCCACAGTGGCAGCCCAGCATTTCTTTACAATACAGGTGAAGCCAGGAGAGAGGGTGGTCATTGGACCATATAAGGAGTTTCAAGTATTTTCACATCAGTATGGGCTGGCTGGGAAGAGCTATTCTGTAAGTAACGCTCCCAGTTTACGGGAGTATCAACCTGGTGCAGCCATGCACACAACAGCCTGAAATGTTCCAGCAGTACTACCCAGCCTTTCCCCTCAGTGAGGCCACTGCACTTTTTCAATCACTTGAGAGGACCTTTGCTCCTCTCAAGCACCAATCCTGTCATCTGTGCGCTTCCACGTGTCCTCCAGGAACAAAGGCTCCTGTCAGCAACTGAAAGCAGAAGTAGCCGGCACAAGCAAGACAAACCGCTCCAGCAACTACTTCAGCCCATTATATTTTGGGGATAGTCCCTTAATTCCCCCTCACATATGTACAGGCATACAGTGGAGAAACAACACTCACCCACCCACCAGCTGGTTGCTGCCAGAACAATGTATTCATCGTATGGCCCCCAGCATGGGTGCTCCTGAAGAGATCCTGGGAAAGCTGCTTCCAAAAGTTACCTACAAGCTGGCAGGTGGGCCACAGACAGGACATGAGATGTTAGCTGAGCACCTCTATCTGTAACAATCTTTGTTTATTTTTCTCTCCTGAAAGAAGCATCTGAAACATCTTCATTTTTCCCTGCCACCCATACAATTTAGGTTCTCTCTCTTTTGAGGTTAGTGGAAGACAAACACTGACCTTCAGGGAAGGGAGACAAGTGTAAATCTAGCAAAGACATTTGAGGATCTGTTCTGTTAATCTGTATTTGGTCTTACCCACGTAGTTACAAGTATTCTACCAAGGAGAAACTAGCCAATTGGGAAAAAACGGATCCCAATTAAATTAAAAGCAGTTTAGCAACTACCTCAAAAATATACCCGAACAATCAGCACTGGCTCCAAGTGAGCGTCTTAAGTGCCCAGCAGAAATTGGAACTAAGCCAATTTCTGTCTACCCCTCCACCTATTTCTTGCCACTCCCTGGGACATTTTGATCAGTGGAAAATGCCAGGAAGTGAGTCAGTTTTTCCCAAGCAGTCCTGTAATCCTACTGTGACTTCTAAAAAGGAAACAAAACCAGGAAAGCCTCTTAAACCTAGAACAATGTATTACACAGGGCTGTTTCTTAGGGAAATAAACTGTTTTCAAAGCAGCCACTGATGCCCAACCTAGCAGGTTCACCTTAACACTACCAGTGAAAAGAGGAGAGTCAAAGTTATTTTTGGTACCTCATCGTTCATTACCAAAACGACAAACTGTACAACAGAAAAAATAATCCTCTCTGAAATGAAAGCTGTGGGATGCAATTGCAGTATTTGAACATTAAACAGGCACTGAGGACTCTCTGAAAGAGAATGGAAAGCAAGGAAGCACAGGACAGGCCAGTGATGGTCACTTATGCAACAATCTCGCTTTGGAAAAGAAATAAACCTTCAGAGCAAGTTACTGAAAAGGTGATGGCCAAGGACAACTAGGAGGTAGAGGAATCGTTCCACGTGCCAATCTACATAGAGAAATATCAGATTAAATTAGGAGCTTTCAGCTCTCCAAACTGACAGAATTTCATAGGGAGCAACTTTCCTTTTCCCATGAGCTTGGTGGGAGACCAATATCTCAAAGTACATGCCCCCAGAAAAACCATACAGAGAAGGATAACAATGCTATAATTAGGATACTAGTGCTTTGCATTATTAGAGCTTATTTTTTTCTTTAAGTTTCAGTCAAATGAATTAACGTGCAAATGTTTCAAAGATTCAATACTCATGAGATAACTTAAAAGTCCTTGGGGAGGAACAAAGGCTAGACATAGTGGAATGAATAAGAAAAGGAAGAACTGAAGCTGAATAGGCAGTAAAACATAGTGACAGTGTGGAACAGGCTCTCATGGGACATGAGGGTCCAAGGCTTTTGGCAGATAGCTAGATTACTACTAGAAGCTGTGAAACCTTCAAAAAACGCAGTGGAGGCCTGGCTCCATTTGCCTTGAAGAAATTAACATACAACAAAACTTTTTAACAGAGAAAGATTCACACATGCTATCTGTTTCTGTAATGCATAGAGCAAGACAAAGGGGGACTATTGGCCGTATGTGAAGCACCAGACTGATTCCTCTCTCAAACCACAACCAGGACTCGAATCCTTCAGAATTCGTTGGTCTGCAAACAGTACACAGGGTCTTTGTAAGAGCTAGCTTAACATCGGTGGCCCTGTGATATGAAGTTACGCTCAGATGCTTCTGATTTGCAACAACTCCAGCATTCAAAACATAACTCAAGTTGGACATTTGCTGACATGCATAAGTCGAGTAAACAGCTGCTTTGACCCCCTGTCTCCCAGTACAGACACATATGCAGGATGAAGGAATGAGACATCCTATTTTGGGTGATTCTTCAATCTAACAGGTCAGAGCTGGAGATTATTCCGACTGCATTCTCAGATCAACTACATGGTGGGGGGAGGCTCTTACATATCAAACAGCAGCACTATATTGTTGTTCTAAAAACAACCTTAACAGTTAATCATCTGCCCTGCGCTGTCACTTTCAAAGTAACCCACATTATAGCCAGCTACAGACAGTCATACTGATGTTTGTACAGATACTAAGTTAACGGAGGCTCTTACATATCAAACAGCAGCATTATATTGTTGTTCTAAAAACAACCTTAACAGTTAATCATCTGCCCTGCACTGTCACTTTCAAAGTAACCCACATTATAGCCAGCTACAGACAGTCAGTATCTGTACAAACATCAGTATAAGTTAACTGTCAGACTTAATTCAGGAATATGACTAACTCCCACTCTGACTCACTACACCAGGAAGAGAGTAAAGTTTTCTATGACCATCAACACAAAAGAAAAAAGGCTTCCAAACAGCTACAGCTCCCACTGAGGAGTTTAGCTTAAAGAGTTTGTTTAATTATTCATGCATCCTTTTAATCTGTCAGCATCTAGTCAAGGACAATACCATCTGTCTGCAACGCCTTAGTGAAGGTAACAGAAACAAAACAGAAAAGAGCTGTGCTAATTTTCAAATTGTGATAATTGAGTAATTTCTTAATATACTCACGTTATTGCAAAATTACCAGAACTAATGCCTTTTACTGATTTCTTTCTATAACATTAAAACAATGCTTATTCTGCTGGATTAACCACCGGAGGTACGTGTATTCTTCATTTTTCTAAATAAGGAGATTTATAAAGAAGAAATAGAAAGCTTAAAATGCAATGGCTTTATTTGTTTTCTGTTTTCAGCTCTGAGGATGAGAATGGCAAAGCTGGGGAAAAAGGTGATTTAACAGCTGTAATGACGTGGAAGTAAAATTACTGCTCAAAGCAGAATAAAGCTAAGAAGAGTTTCTTCAACACACCTTTTTTGGATCATAATGCTTGTTTTGCTCCTGTTTTATGCATCTGGGTTATTTTGCCCTCTGCATAATCCAATGGACTTTAACAGACTTTCAGATTTGACCAACTGCTACATACACATAAATCACATCCTGGATTTTGGTGAAAGTAGTGGAAAGTTACTTAAGACCATAAATACAGTGTATATCCAAGATATGAAGACATGCGAGTACCTGTTCCCACAGCCAGGAACACACAGTTGCTATGTACACAGAGCAGATAAACACCCATCTCCACGGAACTTCACAGGACATTGTTTCACTTCAAAGTGTGCCAATCTACCTGATTTTGATTGAAAATGCCGTCCCAGCATTTTTCTTGCAAAAGCATTGGTTAATAAAAAACTAAACATGAGAGATAGGAGCAGGAAGAAATGTAAATATAAAAGCTGGTTTCTAAGTGTACCACCCTTGGCCAAAATTTAATGCATTCCTTTTTAAGTGACAGCAGAACAAACCAAAAATAGTAAAGTCAGTAGTAAAGTCAGTAGCAAAGTCAGTATTTAAATATTTAGCCACCTTCTAGAGCTCCACAGTCCACCCACCCTTCTCTTTTACATATGACAGTACAGCCATCCTCAGCCCCTGCTCCCTTCCCCGTGCCACACACACGCTGCCCACCCACAACCTCCCAGATCAGTCCTGCGCATGACACCATGAACAGCCAGACCTCCCAAGCATGGTTTCACCTCCTAGCTTGCTACAGAAAACCCTGCTTTTTCAGGAAAGTGGTTGCCAGACAGGCGGTGCCCATCCTTAAAAAAAAAAAAAAAAAAAAAAAAAAACCAGAAACTGAACCTGCTTAGTACATAGGTTTCAGGTGGCTGGGGAAGATAAAATCAGTGCAAGCCTCCTATCAGAAACACTGAGGTGCCAGCAGCTTGTCCTGCAGCTGCAACAGAAGGTCTGTTTTAGGTGCAGCCACTGCTGGGCACAGCTCTCCAGCAAGATCCAAGGCTCCCACTGAGGAACAGGTTAATTCTCTCCACATGAGGGAGGAGCTAAGGGCCCTTCAAGCAGCCATAAGATACAATTACACAAACAAAAATCACATGCAAGTCAGATTTTTCCAGCACATAATTCTTGTGAGGGACAAAGTGCCTCATAGCACAACATCCTTATATTCAAAGCAGTACCATATCTTTATGGTGCTGGGGTCAGTCTGGTTTGAATCACTAAACAGACAAAGCTCAGGTTGTGTTATTCTAGTACAGCTGACTCAAATTATGCACCAGCAAAAAAACACCATACATTTTTTGCTGGTCTTCCTCATTTCAAAGCAGGAAGCTGAAGCTACTACCTCATACTGAGGCACAATGGTAGTAATCGGCTGACTTGTAGCCTCTAAGCACTTGGTGGCTCCCCGTCTGAAGTGGGTAATAATCTCAAATTTTAGGACTTGTCAGAGATGGTTACCTGGAAAGTGGAATGGCAGATAAGAACAAATAAACTTGACTATATTGCACTTTCTCTCTGTCTATCTTGTGTTTTTTGTTTGGGTTTTTTTGTTTGGTTTGTGTTGGGTGGTTTTGGTTTTTTTTCAGTAGTGTGGAGTTTTTTTCCTTATGTTTCTTCTGTTATTTGTTGGTTCCAAGAGTAGCAGACAGAGTTACCTTCAAATCTTTTTTTTATTTTTAATCTTCTCAAAGGTTTTCTTTCACACAATGCACAAGAAAGTGAGAGCAGGAAAGTGATACGAAATAGTCAGGAGCAGCTTTTGTAAGTGTCAGATTGCTACAGACGCTCATCCCCTGCCTTCCCCAAATATTCTGTGCTATTAAACTTAAATGACCTGGAAAAGGGGGCAAAAATGCTGCTGCCAACATAATAAAAGTAGTTTAAAAGAAAGGAGACTGAAGAGAAACTCCACAATAGCATGCACAGTAAAGCTACAGGTGAAATTCACTACTGATACTTGAAAAGTAATGTAAAAAAAATTGAAATAACTCTAAACATACATCACACAAGAACTAGCTGTTAAATTTGGTGTTACAAACCTTGGCATTATTTTAGATAGTCCTCTGAAAAAAAAATTGTATTAGAACTATTCAGTTTGTGCCAGATGAATCTGAACTGTCCCACACTAATACACTACATAGCAGCATGAGTATCAGATCATTAATTTGGAGCAACAGAGACACAAAATGGAGCACTCAAGACCAAGGGATGCTCATCACCTGAGTGCTGCAGCCCCAGAGCTTTCCCACATCCCCTATCAGCAAGAACAGAATTACAAGGAGGAAAAGTATCTTCTTCACATGTCAGTACGGATGCCATACAAAATTCCAGTTCATCATTAAAGCTGAACAATTTCTAAGGTCCAGCAAGACAAAAGTCTCTCGGAAACAAAGCCAAAGCTAGAGTCTTAATGCAGTATCACGTGTCCAAGATGACTAGTCATCACAGATACCTGGTTCAGTGTGACATAGATGTGCAGCTTTCATTGTTTGCAATATGTGAAGTCACTTTTGCACAGAGCAAGGAAGACCAGCAGGAGCTATACAGTGGTTGCATTAGCTCATACATGAGCTAAAACAGATGGTACCAAGTGTGTTTTGAAGCACTTGTTCTGTGCCAACTCTGCTGTGCCCCTCCCTCAGATAAGTGAATGCAGAGCTCCCCCCTTCACACATACCTCTTAGAGAAGTTGGGATCAGACTGATTGAACAAAGAATTTCTCTGAATTACTAGCAGATCATTCCTCTTAACCATCCTTCTATTCACTTGGAGTAATCTAAAAATCACTCAGCTATTAATTTCTGCATTGAAATGCAGTAGGTTGCAGTTTTTCCTTAGTGATTGCCATTCATCTTAAATTGTTTGAAAACGGATGTACACAGGTAGAGCACGGTTTACACACACGATAAAAGAAAACAGGCCATAACTATTCAAGCAAAAGCACAGACATCAAGTAAACACCCATTTCATAACGTCTATCTGTACGAACTGGGCTCAAAGCTCTTAATAAAGCTTGAGAATTTGTCAGATTAGTTCATCTAAGAACACTTGCCGTTTTGGACATCCTTCACATGTCTCAACCTCTCACTGCCAAAATACAAATGCTGTTATTTGGACAAGAGCGCCACGCAGTGTTACACACCCTGACACAAAACAAAAGGCAGGCAATCTCTCCAGCCTTCCCAAACCCGGGTAAAAAAAAACCACGGGAGTTGTTATACTGAGTATGAAGTCTCCCCATCTGGTGATTTTTTACAAAACAGGGAACTGCACAGCGTTCAGTGTCAGGAAGAGAAACAAAGCACATCTTTTCTTAGTTCATTCTGGAGCCTGCATGTCAGCAAACAAAAAAAAATTATTTCAAGTGAAGCAAAGCAGCAGTGAATTCCATTGCATTTGAGCTATTTGCATCAGTTTTCATTCAAAACATATGGAAGAAACATGATCTGTAGTTAAGTCAAGAGCAGATGACTAGTGTTTGGAGGCTGCACCTAACAACGCAATCAAAACAGTAAACTACTTGTTGTGAGACTGATCACAAGTTTCTACTTGACTGAGAACGTTTGCCTGTCTGGAAGAACCCAAAAAGAAATATGCTAATGTTGATTTGTCATCACAAATTTAATCTGAGAGTAAGAAAACACTGAAACCTTCTTGATCTCTCCCTGTGAATGATTTTTTTTTCTTTTTTACTTCAGTGGGATTCCTTTATGAAGAAGGAAAGCAATGGGAATTTTCTTCTATGTAATATTTTACCATCCAAGAAAAGAAATACACAACACCACCATTGTCTCTAGAACTAAATTGTCACTTTTTTTTCTGCTGATATCAAACACTTCCATAGACTTTTCTCTTGGGGTTTTTTTGTTATTTTGTTTTTCAAAGAAGTATACCAGAAATTTTGGAAGTCACTAGAATACAACGATACACTCCTTCCTCTTATAGTCACGCAGGAAGAAGGCAGGGGTGGTGCTGTGAGCAAACACTGCATAAAATCAACAAGTCTTTCCATCAAATAAGTTACAATACTGCACATAAGGCCTCACAAAAGAAACTATGCAATATTGCTAGCACTAGTTATCCAAACTAGTTATTTGTTCCAAAGAGCAGCTGATAATTTCACCAAATTTAAAGCTGTATTAGACATAGAACAAGGATTTTTTTTTTCTTCTTGAGTAAAAGAAACTCTGCATTACAATGAGAAAATATTTTAACGTTCAATTTCAATAGAGCTTCTCCAGGAAGCATTTAGATAGCTTTAATTTATAAAGCAATATCTACAAAGAAAACAGACAATTTGTTTCACTGCTAGGCAAGACTATTCTTTCCTAGTTCCTATTTGATTTTATTTTCACCTTACTAAAAGGGACACAAACTATTATTAAGGTATTTACACTCATGTTTTAAAAACCCTGTGTTCATTGTCACATGCAAGTGAAACACACAGTAGAGCTACTATTATTACAGAAAGAATCTGGCATTGATTTTAGTTTAAAAAGCTATCAATTGTGCCTAGGTTGAGAGATATTCTTCTATAAACTCATGGTATACGAAAGAGTCCCCCAAAAGTTTAGCACTAGAGAGGCCTGGGATTTCCAGGCTTGAGATCAGAGTTCTCAAAAAACAAAAAACAGCAACAAAAAAAATCACAAACCCACACCGCTAGCCATACTCTTCTTGTCCTTCAGCCTGGGTTTTGCCATATTTTAGTCCCCCTTCCTCAATCTGCATGTGACTTTTTCCAGCTTCCAGGAGGAAGGGGGACAGTTCAACTTACACTCACCTGCAGTCTGCTGCTGCTGACAAAGCAGTTAACCGCATCTCTGTAAGTGCCCTTGAGAAGAAAAAAAAAAAAAAAAAAAAAAGACGACCGACTACAAACATCAACTTGTAGCTTTCTGAATGACTTGTCTCTGCAACAGGCTGCACTGTTGATTTGCAGAGATTGAAGAAGAGACAAATAGACAGCTTTAGTAAATGGAGAGAACCACTGCCTGACGCACATGTATTTTAGAGCTGGCCATGAG